AAATCAGGGCATAAGTAAGGGCTTTGAGAGATAAGAGACTTAAGTTAAGCTTGTTTAGATACATACCAAATGTTTACCTAGAGAAGTGGCAAGTATTCTTTGTGTGTTATTCTAATATATGAACAAAAAACACTGTTTTGTCTAGAAGCTGAAGGATACTTAAACAAGGTGTTGACTGTTAACTGGGAAAAAAAGTATTTTTGCCAACCCATGTACTTGGAAACGCTTGTGATCAGTGTGGTTTGTTCTTCAAGTGAGTTTAGCTGCTGCTTAGGAAGAGAAATGTACAGAAGGACGAATGGTCCGATAAGAACTGATGACCCGTAATGGTGTAAAATGTTCAGAATATGACCTGTTTCTATCCTTAATACTATCTTTGGTGTATTTCTGGCTGAAGAAATAGTGAGCACCCCAGCACTTCTGTTGATGTCAAGCCTTGTAGTTTACTCAGACAGCAGACAATACAATGCCTTAAGGAAATAACAGACCTAATTAGCTTAATTCAGCACAGTAATCTGTGAAAGTAAATCTCTAAAACTATACATTGTTACTTGGTTTAACCATAACTGCATTCCCTGATCTAAACTTGACTTTCTGAAATAGAGCTTTCTTGGATCTTGCTCTTTAAACTGAGTTTTATGATATTAGATAGTAGCTGTTATCACTGTGGCATGGTCACTTTATGCTTTGTTTATTTTTTCCCTTTTTGAGAAGGACTGGTATTTTATCTTTGTGTCTTCTCACACATAAATATTTAACTTTTCTCAATATGAAAGCATGTTGTCTTCAACAGACAATGATTTAAACATTGTTTAAAACTTAAAGCTTTCTACTTTGAAAAAAATTATAAAGTGAAGCTGGTAAGAGTTATGTCTCACTGCACTGTTATGGGCTTAATGCCTCAGATAAAGTTATGAGCATTGTGTTTTAATAGTTTATTTAAAAAAAACAACTAACCTGTGAACCAACTTGGAGAAAGCCTAGTGAGTGTATTCAGGACTCTAGGGAAGAGATAGAGAAGACGGCACTTAATACTGTTCAGTCAACAGAAGGTCCCTGCTTTTAGGTACAGAAGAGGTGTCAGCAGCAAGGAGGGGCCTGACTCAGGTTCTGAAGGTGTCTGCTAGAAATGCAGAATAAGCTTCCCTCTGCTTTTGCTTTTCTTTCTGATAGTGATGCTTTCTTGCTCATAAAAAATGACTAAGGAAAAGTTCTGTTCAACCTGGGTGAGTTCTTGCTATGTGCTTGGCACCACTGAATGGATCCTAAACTGGCACAATGTAGGTAACAGTAAAGAGACAAGCAGTTTGCAGAACAGTTCCTCTAAAACCTGAAGTGGAATATTTTTTTAAAAAAGTGTTGGTGCTGCGGATATCAGTTTGTAAGAAGTGGGATTCTTAAAATAATAAGTTTGTAATAAATGTAGTTTGCTAAAACGGTTCCTACAGACATCTTTTGCTCAGGAAAGCAAGCAGCCATTAAATAAAAACATGTCACTAGAGCTTTATCGTAGCTTCTAATCTGCCCCTTGTTTAATGCAAATATTGGAATTGGCTGTAGGCAAATCTAGAGAGCATAAAATAAATCTTAGTCTTGTTGCTGAAAGGTGATTTGAAATGTAAGAAACCAGAAGGCTTTTACAATTCTTTGGTGCTGCAGATACATGGATTTAGGACAGAGGTTTCAAGGAGAGAGATAAGATAAAGAGTTACTGCTTGTCTACCCTGGTTTGGATGTTTGGAGAGGTTTTAGTTGTTGTGAGTATTTTGGTTTGGGGTTTTTGGTTTGTTTGGTTCTGGTCTCTTTGCCCTTGGACATCTGTTTTAGAAAAGCTGAAAACTTGTGAAACACTTCAAGGTAAAGTAGTGAAATTATAGGAATAATATGCTAGTTATTAAAAGTTACATTGTTTAAAATGATTTACTGTTTAAAATGGAACCATTTTATTTCAGAACTATAGATTTAAATGTAACATTATCGACTCAGACTGAGGTATCATGATAGTTTTGAGCTCTCCGTAGAAATTATTAATTTTATATTAAATAGATACAAATATTTGCATATTATTTCAGTGCTACAGTTCTTTGCATTGAGTTCTTTCCTCTTTCAGAGAGGTGAAAGGCCTAACAGCGTACAGTGAATATGCATCTTTCTAATCTACCTGTTTAGCATTATAGTGTAATAATGCATATATGCTTAAGTAAAAATTTGCTGTGTGCCATGTAAGAGTGCAAAATAATGGATAATCTCTAGGTCTTTTTAAGTAAAAGATAAAGATTGCTGTAATGATTACTTGCTTCTCTTCAATATATTTTTTAAATCAAGTGTTGAAATGAAAGTGTTGGGTTTTTTCTATAACAGCTTTAGATAATTGAACAAAATTTGCTTCAGAGGTTGTCTTTAATTTATTAGTGATAGATGTTTGTTACCTTCATTAACAGGGTTTAAAAAAAATTATTCCTGAATTTAAAAAAATACTCAAAATTCTAATTGTGGAAAATTGGGACCTTAACTTCCAGAGCTCTAACTCTATGAACAGTGTTTTGTATAGTTAAGAGTGGAGCAGCCAGATTTATAGATCTTTGCCAGCACCTTGTGGTAGATTAGTTTTTGTTTCACTTTGGAGACCTGTTTTTGTGGAGAAATAAGCAAAAAACCAAACTTTATTCTCTCTCTAAAGTACATGATTTCCTGTCTTTTTAGCTCCTTGATGTATCATCTTTTGGAATGAGATGAGAGTGGGTGCCAGTACAAACAAAAGCTTGGAGAATATGTGGCTGTGGAGTGGTGAGGGGGCTGACCACCCCCACTTTTGGTCACAGCTGTTAGCCTGCACATTGGTTGTAACTTAAGTTGCACCTGAGTGGTGAGGTTGTACAATAAATCCCTGCAGACACTAAAAAACCAGGACTATGTGTTTCTTGGTCTCAAGTTTTCTCATAATACTTCAATATTTCTAGTTTATATGATCTGTTCCACTAATTTTTGACCATTAGTTTTATTGCTCTCCATAAATACATGCTTCAAGTATGAGATCTGTACTTTAATGTCTCTTAATGAATTGCCAAAAGGTGTTAACCTTGTAAGGCTCTTAAGTGAAGTAACTTCCATTTTGAGTTGTAATCTTCCCCCTGCCAGGAGGTTGTGAAATGATTGTTACAGGCATTCAAATGAGTGGAAGAGAAACAGCATTAAATATGTACTTGTTGCTACTTGATGCTCTTTAGATAGCTGTGTGAGGCTTGACTTAGGGTGCAGCGTGCTGTAGACCACTGGAGTGACTAATTCATGGCAATGGATATCACTACAGTTCTATATTCAGATTGTATATATTTTGCTTATAGATGGGCACAAAGTATTGCATTGTGTTGTGACACACGCCGTTTGTTTCACCTTTCTTATGCTTTGCAAGTCTCTATCTGAACTATATATTAGCTTGAAAAATATTCTTGTCATGTGCATATTAATTTGGTAGCAAGTGAATGCACCAGATCTGAACCATTCAGTGGGAGGGAGCCTTACACCTCAGTGGAGTAAGTAAGGTGTAGAATATAGATCTGTAGCTATAGGGTGGCGTAAGCAATAGAGGAGGGTTTAAGTATTTCTTTGAGATCTAAGCTTTGACCATCTATTACTAGCTCTTCTCAAAGTACATTGCATGAGGCAGGGTGTGAAGACAGCCACTGCAGAGACTAAATGCCCCGGTAAGAGTAGAAGGAAAACCAGACAGACCTCTAGAGGTCTAGTTTCCAGACATTAGACTAAAAGAATCTGAGTCTCTTCAGTTTACTTAAAGGGAAGTATAAATAACATCTTGATTAATAGGTGGTGGGGAATTGCACATTATGGATATTCAGACATGAAAAAGATGTGGCGTTAGAAAGCGATTCAGAGTGACTAAAAAGGCATAATGTTGAGTGCCTGGAAATCTTCATTAAACAAAATAAATTGGATGTTTTGCAATGGGGAATGTGATTAATAAATAGCTTTGTGATTACTTAGTCTCAAAAAATTAAAAAAAATTAAAGAAAAATAATAATTTGTTTGAGTCTCAGAGAAAGTTAATAAGCTGTATTACCATGCTGGAATTTCCCCCCCCACCTCCCCTCGACCTCGGAGGACGGTTGCAGAGGAAGATTTGAAGGCAGTTTTTTCATCATCATGGGGGAGTACTGACCTTAACATGCTTAAATGCATTGCAGCTCTCTGTTAAGATGACCGTCTCATACTTCAGTGCTTCAGCTGGTTATCTTCATTATGGTTTGTCATGTATTTTAGGTTTTAGCCTGTGTTTAGTCATATGTGAAACACTTGGTTATAGCTGAAAGTAAGTTGAGGTTGACTGGTTGTATAGCTTGGAGACTGAGAGAATATGATTCTTTGAGTCTCATGCTTGGGTGTTGAACTGGCTATCAGGTTTCAACTCCTAAAGGAGATGGGTGTTTTTGCTGGCACTTCTGCCAACAGAAGGATACTCCTTGTGCTTCCAATGTTTAAAACATGAAATGTGTGGGATTATGCAGGCATCATTTATTTAACAATTCATTTGTGTTGCACTGGTAGTGATCTATTTTGGTTTTTGGCCTGTGAACTGTATGGTATAAAATGTGTATGGGGTCAGACTGGAATATCTTAGTTTCCCTTTGGTTTTAAACTTCCTGACATTATAATGCCATAATGTGTGCTTTCAGATGTGTTTGGTTTTAATAAGGCAGCCTCAATTGCCTGATCTGAGGTGAATTTTTGAGTGTATTGTGCAGAGTGTACTGAGTATACTGTAGAGTGTATTCACAGTAAGAAGCTGACAGTCTGCAGCCCTGTTTGTTCTTACATTTTGTTTACATGGAGAGAGAAGCAAATGTTATTAAAAAGAATAAATACTTCACGGAAGTTGTCTTCTAATAACAACACTTTGTAAACGGCAAAATGCTGTGAATGAAATGCTGTATTTTTCTTTCCAGATTTAAGAAAACTAAAGCTTCTCTGGAACTGTAACTAGAATGGACAGTTACTTTAAAGCTGCAGTCTGTGACTTGGACAAACTGCTTGATGAATTTGAACAGAATACAGGTTAGTTCCTGTACTGCCTTATTCTCCAGCATAATGATGTGGTCAAATGACTGTTACTGTGGAATTTTAAAGTAACATATGCTAAGTATAAGCTTGTATTGATGAATAGATGAGATTTAGACGGAGTGCATTGTGGGAAGAGAGGAGTTTTGTAAACTTAGCTTTTGATCTCCTTTTGCTTATCGTAGATGAATATGACTGCTACAGAACACCTCAAAATTCCTATGAGTCAAATTCGCTTTCTTCAGTTCTGGATTGCTTACAACACGTATACCCAACACCAAAACAGCAAGAGGATGCCAACAATTGTACTTCATCAAAAGAAATCTCTCAAGCTAGCTACACTGGAACGAGGGAAGTGCTTCTGAGTTACTCACCACAAAATGAGAAGAATGTTGCTGGACCTGATCTCTTGTCCACTGTGGACAGTGGTTCCTTGAATGAAACTCAGGCTACAGATGTGGGGAGATGTAGTATACCTGTGTGTGATCTTGTTAATGACACAGGTAACTTAATCCATGCAGCAGCTGCTCATGAGGATACTCAAAAGTTGCAGCCAGATAATTTCCAGTACAGTGACAGTTTGATTGGCTTTGGCACATCTTACATACCTGTTCCTACCTGTGTGTCATCAGCAGGTTGCAGCGGTGTTTCGAGTACAGAGCAGAGCGATGGCAACTCAATGCTGCAAGATTCAAGACATCTTAAAATGGAGGAGATTAATAATTTACATTTAAAATCAGACAGTTATGCTACAGCGAAGATCTCTGATCCATGTGATGATCAACACAGGACAGAATCTATAAAGTATAGTGAAGTATTTGATCAGCTTGAACAAACAGCTTGCCTTAATATTACGTGTGTCCCTGTAACATCACAGATTTCAAATGCATACTGTCCCAAAGATGAGAAAGCATCTGAAAAATTGACTTGTGAACCACACAATGAAAGTGCATGTTCTGCAGTAAGCAAAGAGATGTATGGAAGAAATGCAACAGAAAAAGTCGGCTCAAAGGATGATAGTAATGTTGAATCCATGCCTTCAGATCTGCCAAAGAGGCCTCAATTGCACAAAAGCCATGCAGCATTACCTGGAAAGTGTGTTTTACCAGGTTCTTCATGTCAAACAGGAGCTAAAGTAGAATTGGAAGAGACAGTCTCAGAAGAGAATGTACATAGTGAAGAACTTAATAACAATGAAATACTGAACAGTGTTTCAACTTCACGTATTACAGTTGAGGATGTTCAGACCTCACTGTCATGTCTTCCTGTATCTATCTGTGGTTCATTAGCTGTAACAGAAGAAAAACTTAATCCTCTACCTCAAAATGAAATGGTGGAGGTTATTAGTGATACTTTAACTGTTCATGCTGGAAAGTCTAAAACTGATCTGTCCAGTAGGGAATCCTGTGAAAACGTTGACTTGCATGGACAGGAAGGATATATAGCTAAAATCAATGAAAGTATTGTGGAAAAAAGTACAGATGGCGAGAAGTATGATACTGAGAATGTAATTGGTGACAGTGATTCTCAGCAAATCAAAGCTTTTGCTTCTGCTTTTCTAGAATATGAAGCTGAGCCATATGGTTGTGATACAGACTCTTATTACAATGAAAGCATGAGCCCAGTTATGGCTGACTTTTCTGTTGAGGAGAATGTTATTAAAAGTGATACTCTAATAAGTGATGCTGAGCTTGATGATTTCTTGTATGGACAAAGTCTTCAGTCCAATGTGTTGAAGTCTTCAGATAATGATAGTAACTTAACAGAAGCTGATGCAGATGAAGGGAATTTAACAAATGTGAACAACCTGGATTTTACAGAGATCACTGAAGAACATACGCAAGCAAAACTGGAGGAGATAACTAGCATTAATAGTAAAGTATCTCTTACTGCCAATGAGTCAGAATCTGCAACAGAAGAGAATATGTCTCTTAGTCAAAACAGGACTGAGAGTGGTAATGAAGCACTAGTTTCTAATGTTTGTGTTGAAGTTGTAAGACCAAAGCAGTTTCTTCGCCTTTCCCAAGAAGATGTTCAGAGACACCTGAATAGAACAGATACATTTGAGAGACAAAACCAGGAAGAGAGTTCTGCTACTCCAGTAGCTCTCTCAGGGAAACAACCATTGTGGGTTCCTGATTCAGAGGCACCAAACTGCATGAACTGCCAAGTCAAGTTCACGTTTACAAAAAGACGTCACCACTGTCGTGCATGTGGAAAGGTAAGTTACTGGAGAAGGGTCCTGTGTTACTGACAGCAAGTGAATTCTGATTTAGAGATGCACTGGTTTTTAGCTGGGGTAAAGTTCATTTTCCTTTATAGTAGCCTAGGATAGAGTTAATTTTCTTCATGGCAGGTAGTATGAGACGATGGTTTGGATTTGTGTTGAGAATAATATGATAGCACAACAATGTTTTAGTTGTTGCCAAGCAATATTTACATTAAGCCAAGGACTTTCTTCAGTGTCTCTACTGTCCCTGTCCTCCAAGATTCTTATAGAAACAAGTTAGGAGGAGTCACAGCCAGAACAGCTGACCCAAACTGACCAAAGATTTTCCATGCCATTAGACTGTCATGTTCAGTATATAAGCTGGGGGGAGTTAGCCAGGAGAGCAGTCAGTACTCAGGGACTGGCTGGGCATTGATCAGGAGGTGATGAGCGGTTGTACCACTTCTTTTTGCTTGGTACTCTTCTCTTTTATTGTTTTACTGTCTTTATTATCATTGCGATTTTAATTTAAATTTTATTTCAATTATTAATGCACAAGTTTTCTTACTACCTTTGA